ATTTCGGAAAGCGCGCGGACGGCGGCAGGACACGACGGCAAGCAGTTAGCAGCGGCGACAAGGACTGCGAGGCTCAATCATGCATGTGTTAATAAATATTATGTACTTTTCTACTATCTTTTGCTCGGCCACGCCTCTAGCTCTTTGAAGCCCGACGCTGGGGCGCCCATGTTCGCCCGCCAGCGGCATGGGAAGTCTCATACCCAATCCGGGGTAAGGGGCAGCATAAACGGCGGTAAAAGCCGGCTTTGCCAGGCTGTCTGCTCCTCCCCAGACCCAGTCGTCGGTACCAGCAATGGTTTTATGGGACCCGGCGTATTCGGTAGTAACACCGGGTGCGCCTCTGAGTACGGAAAACGTTAGCCAATTACGCACTTCCCCTGCTCGAGAACTACGATCAAGATGCTGCGGATGGATATCTCGGAGAAGATTTGGTTTGCCAAGAACTCAACGCGTATCCATTGGAACAGTTAGAGAGTACAACTGCGGTTGTAGACAAGTTGAATGAAAACCAAAGGGATGTTTTTGACCAAGTGATGGGCGCAGTATAGTCTCCCCAAGTCGGCCGGAAACTATTTATTATTGACGGACCAGGGGGTACCGGTAAATCCTTCTTGCTCGAACAAATTTTTGCCAGGGTACGTCTGAATGGAAGGGTTGCTGTGGCAGTTGCTTCCAGTGGAATTGCAGCAACATTGCTGACAGTGGGTCATACGACACATTCCATATTTCGGATTCCACTGAAACTAGACGACCATTCGACGTGTAATATTCCGAAACAGAGCCAGAAAGCGGAATTGATACGCCGGGCCAGTTTAATTATTTGGGATGAGGCAGCGATGATGCATCGAGTGTGTATTGAAGCTGTTGACCGAACTTTTAGCGACATCACGAGTAATGAAGTCGAGCCATTTGGGGGGAAGGTAATCGTTTTCAGTGATGACCATTGTCAAATCCTACCGGTCTTAAAGGATGCTACCAGGGTTGAAACGCTAATGGTGTGTTTGAAAGCGTCTCCCTTATGACAGCACCTACGCCAGCTGCGTTTGACAGAGAATATGCGTGTGAAAACGGCGCTTGATCCAGATAATGCTGCGGAGCTGGCCGAATTTTCAAAGTTCTTACTTCAAATTGGAGAGGGTCGTTATCCGGTGAATCGCGATATTGACGACAACGACATCTGTATCCCGCAGAGCATGTGCGTTACTCCAGTCTCCGGTGGTTCCTCGACTTCTATTCAAAATTCCTCTGATGATGATTCAGAGTACGAAGCACCGAATTTCAATTTGCTTCAACCATTGGATCCTGAAGGTGAACGCGAATCGGACGAGCCTGAAGATGATCAGCGTACTCGCAGTATCAACGCACTGATCGGTGCGATTTACCCCGGGGTGGGTGATGCTGACTTGCCAAATCAGTACTTTGTGGATCGTGCAATTTTGGCGCCAACCAATGCAAGCGTTCGTCGGATCAACGAAATGGTAGCTGAGCGATTGTCTGGAGAGACACGAGAATATCTCTCCAACGACAGCCTCGACGGTCCCGGAGCTCAGAACCTATTCGAGACTGAGGTTTTGAACTCACTCAATTTCTCAGGATTGCCCCCTCACAAGATGGTTCTCAAAGTTGGCACTCCTATCATTATGATTCGGAATCTAATAGAGACGAAGGTTTGTGCAACGGAACGCGTCTGCGAGAGAAATGCATAGACGCGACT